ACAGGTATTTTACAGGGCAAGACCCCGTACAGTCCAATAAGTAGAGTAAATTGGTGGAGGAAATGTCTATGTTTCAGAAGCAGATTTCCCTCGATTGGAACTGTCATTGATAATTAAGGTTATTCTGCAGTCATGGCGGTCAACTCTTAGTGCCAGGGATTCTAGATCTTTGGAACTTCTAGAACGCAGGGTAGTAGGTAACACCCATCCCAAGACTATAGGTACATCACGCGGGCTTACAGATGGATACGACGATTGCGAGGGGCCAACGAGCATTCGACATTAAGACAGACTACACTAACCGTTACTACTTATATTACAACGGTATAGCTTACACTAGATCTATGTATATACGTTACATAGTTCACATCGGTAACGACTAGCGGAATCGGTGCGCGCGCGCGTAATCCATCGCCTTTTGCCTCTCCGAAATAATTACACCAGGTTACACTAGTCAAGATAGTTTACTTAGACGATGGTATAAAGACGGAGTCGGAGTGTAACAGTTGCCGAGATGAGGGCGTAGATTCAAAACATGATCACATTCCAACCTCCGGTGCTTTTGGATAGGAAGCACTTGGGGTGACATTTAATATCAATATCGAAATTTCGAAGGAGTGGCCGCATTATCTGCGACCTACTCGATGGCTGAACTGTCAGTGGCCAATCCCTCCTGTTTGCTGCTTATTGTTTTCCAGTGCCTAACATGTCAGCACGCTCAGTCATTTGACTGCCTATAGGCTATAGCCACACACATCTTCATCTCACGATCACCCATTTCTAGTGTATAGCATTGGCGCGACACTACTGCAAGTTATGTGTCAATGGAATGCACATTCGCCTCGTAGAGAAGCTATTGGACCTAATACTTATAAATCAATTTACTATCTACGTTAGCATACCGAGTTCTAGTGCAATTAAAAACAATACGTAGCAAGTGAGAGCGATATAACTTATCGTACTACACACTAGACAGGCTAGACGTTTCCCAGTAGTTCTCAGCTGTTAAGTAGCCAAGGCTTTTGTTATTTCCTCTCTCGGATGCAGTATCGCCCCAAGATTCTTGGGAAACTAGAACAAACATCGAGTTTATCTAGGCCGTCAAATCTTTTTTGTCGGCCATCGAGTTTCCAACGAGTTCGCGGGCTATGGGGTACCGCTATGTTGCATTGCACTCGAAAGACTGGTTGGGGCCAAGGCGACACTCCAGCATTTCCCGGCTTGTCCGGTAATAGATAGGTTACAAGCACATCACTCAGGAGTGCTGGTCACAAGACTCGAACGTGTTGCGTAGAAGAGCTGTCTGTGGAGTTGGCTCACAGTTAGTGTATCTACCAGTAGATGGATACCCAAAATGTAGAACCGGTTCGATTGCTATTTACTTGGCTATACTGCCTGCGATCACTCAGGTCGGGTCATATCTCCAAATACGTGCGCTGCCAGGTTTCTGTAGTGTATACTACTATGTTAGTGTAGGCCCCAGAATACCCCTGAACCCAGCTCGAGGTTCCCAGAGGTCCAGCTGCCAGACCCCAAGGTTGCCTTGTTCATACACTGTACACATAAGCTATAAGCCAAGTCATCGGAAATGCTCTACTTTGAGTTTAGAGCAATCCTTGTCTATAGCCGAGTATAGTCAAGCTGCTTTTAGGACCCCTTGGCTTATTCTATTCTAGGTCTAGCGACTAAGCCAGGTACGATTATTTTCATGGCGTCGTTCCCACATTTCATCATGACCAGATGGTGCTTTCAGGAGTTACATCGACTCCTTCAATACACTACACACCCTTTGGCCTCTTTTCTCCGTTGCACCCTTTACAGTAGGTAGACGAACAAGGACAGTACTGAGTAAATTTAATCTAATAATGTGAGTGCAAGGGTAACCGGACCGCCATCGGGTGAGCCTTGCGGTCGGCGCAAAAGTACTACTACTGCGATACATTATCTACCATCTCACCCTTTTCTCTCTTTCTACTTCACGCTATATCATTGGGGCCTGGTCACAACGAATCGATTTCTCAATTTACCAAGTAGGTGACGCCGGCCTTTTAGAGAAGACCAGCAGCCTCCCATCTCCCTTAAAAGCCATCCCTTGCATTGTGACCCCCAATTCTTTTGTTCAAGGCCGAACAAAAGCCCGTCACCTGCCTAGCGCTGTCTCCCACTCTGCGCAGCCAATATGACGTTTTGATAGCAAATAAAGGGTTCAGCCTCTCTGCTTGCGGATCATCACACACCGAGCGCCAGTTAAGAACGCTCTGCGCTACCCACGCCGTAACAACAACGAGAAACAATCACAGTCAAAAGTAACCGCAATTCTCATGGAGGGTGTTCTTCTTGCGCCCCCGGATCGGGGTCCGATTATTGGGAAACCTGTTTGGAAGGTAGCCGCCGTCACCAATTGCGCACTCAACTCAGTTCATGGGAATGCTAATTGAATCTATATCTAGCCGCGTTATATTGTTATCGGCGCACAGCACCAAAAAGAGGCTCAATCGCCCAATCTCTCGCTATCCCAGGTTTTATCTACTGCTCGGATAAGAGACGCAGGGGGCAAATCTTCGAAAATACAGCAGAAGATTCCCACCGACGACGCCCTCTACTTTTCAGTATACAAGTCGAAGGTGCGCGCAATTGATTTGATCATAACCCCGCGATGCTAACATGACAACAGGAGGATTCCGAGCCCATGATTCAGTATTCGATTTCGTCGATAACAGATTGTCAGGTGCAGTATATTGCCCATCGGAAACAAGGCCATCTCCTTCCTACTCTAACCATTCAAATCTCCCCCGATCCGGCAACCGACAAGTTACGAAAGCGCCGATCGAGCCGGACTACTGGATTAATCACGAACAAAGATTCAGGCCCGGCAAAGCTATGGTTTCTCTCAACCGAGGAGTCGCAGTACAGCGTAGACGACTGGGCAAGGTACATCCAGTCACTTACACAACAGCCGCAGTCCGTTCCTATGAGCCCGACCAGTCCAACGTCGCCAGCATTCGTTAGCCCGTTCCCCCCGATGCAGGATGCTGTCGAGAAACCAGGTCCCATTTCTACTGCGAGAGGAAAGTTGAGGTCCAAGTTGCAACCGAAGACATCGGGTAGAGCCCTCCCATCGGCACGCGACCAAAGCTCAACACATCCTTCTGGGTCCCCTAGCCTTCGCTCTCGCAAGAGCGACCTTTCTTCGCGCGCGAGCTCAATGGTGCCGGGTAATATGACTTTCGTGCAGCAACATTACGCCAACCTGCAGCACTCCGATCTGCCTTCCCCCGCCTCTACTGTAGATGAGCATCCAGAACAGTTCATAGAAGGATGGACGGCGTCACAAGGACGGTCCTCTGCCTTGAGCTCCCCCATCAGGGGTCGCACAAGCATTGGCTCTTCCCAGGACCCCAGCCAACCCAGCCTGGAATCCAGCCCCCGCGTGCCGCCCCGTGAGACTATTTTAGACCGGGCATTTCAAATGCGATATATCCCTGGATCTGATAGAGAGGTCGCTGGAGAGGAAAAGCTCACGTCGCTTGCAAGGTTTGAAGCACTGATGTCTGAAGTAGAGAATCGCAAGAGAACCACGGGGAGAAAGGAGATAACGCAAGAGCCCTTGAAGAGCACGTGGGAAGATGAAAGCGATGAAGATGAGGTTGGCAAGGAGGCTGAAGATGAAGAGGACAGTGATAGCTACGCCTTTGATCATCAAAACGATCAGGAAGAGATGGATCCCTCGATGAAAGCGCTCCAATTCATGACGAACCGCCACACATCGACTTACAGTGAAGCCGGGCTGAGTAGTGTTTTACGGCCGCACACGTCGCACTCACGAAGCCGGCCGGCGACCCAGAGGACGAATAGCCAGCCCTACATTCATGGGCCGCCGTTAAACGTGCCGCCATCCTCTTCGAGGCTACCGGAAGGGGCCCAGATGCGGCGATCTCACGAGAAACGACACTCAACTTCGGATGTGAAGAATCTGAGTTTCAATGAATTTACGAGACGATTGAGCGGCACGAGCAGTTTACTGCTTGTACAGTCGAATGCCAGCACCGGCAGCAACCGTGGCAGTGGTGATTACGACGCGCAGCATACGCCTCGTGGGACCCAGACTCCCGACGAGCGGTGTCGATGGCGTGGCAGCCTCGGCGTATTTGGGAACGAGGGCGGCTTTTTATGATTTCAGCGCCGCGGAACCCCCATCTTTTACGAAATTCTGTTCGGAATCTTCATCACGCTATTTGGGACCTTCGACTGTATTAATTACGACTTAAGCCCACCGTGGCATCTATCTATACACACACGACCTTACGATAATCGACTTCGGGCCCAGCGTTATGCGATGTTATTAGACGGCATAGCATTGTCAGATTTTTACGACTCCTAGCGTACGACATGATTCTGACGCCCTTTTGTTATTAAAAAAACACTTTTCCTTTCTACCTTTTTTCGGACATTTACGGGAGACAGAAACAACACGATGTTTGGAGACGAATTACCAATTTTTTGCATTTTAATTTTATCTGGATTCTGGAGCGGGTCTACGAAATTAAGAAACTTACTCAGACTGACTGACGGTTCTGGCAAATGAAGTGCCGTTTCACCCCTCTCCTCTTTTAGCACTAGACTTGCACATATCATCTATCCTTTCAATGATGTTGGACGGACGGACAGCAGAGAGATCATGGAACAACTTTATAAAGAGAATTTGCGAAGATATAAGAGATACCCTTTATTTTATTTACCCTTAGGCACTATGAAAGCAACAAGCATCGATTAAAAAAAATATACCAACACAATTAAACAATATAACACTCAGTCTTTCTCAGTCCATGTGATTATGATTATGATTGTACAATTCATTCTTAGGAGCAACGCATGCAGTGGTCTTTTTTCCATAGGATTTCCTAGCTGCATCTACCTAGGTTAGTGCATACAGCATGTCTATCCCAATGCCAACTCCCCAAAAATATTTCACGAATTCCGCAAAATTCCGCAAAAAAGACTGGACGAACGGGGATTTGAACCCCGGACCCTTCGCAAGCAAGAGACTCTGATTGAGAGACATCAGAAGAGATGCAAAGCGAATATCATACCCCTAGACCATTCGCCCAAAAGAACCGCTGCAACATACAGTAGCCGATCGTTCAGCACCGATCACGGGACTCGAACCCGCAACCCTAGACTTAGGAGGTCTATACGCTACCATTGCGCCAAATCGGCTCGATTGGGAGTTGCAGGTGTTAGTAGGTATAATTAAGACTTGGGGGATTGGAGCTTCCGTAATCGGAGCTGAGCTAGGCTAAGCCAAAGAAACACTGCTTTGTTCGATTGTGTTAGTATAGGTAGTATAGGTAGTATGTGTACATATATACAGGACAGAAATAAACCGCGCATGTAGTAGATAAGGTAAGTTAGGTTCAAGGCCAGGCCGAAGCTTAAAACTGCAACAAACTAGTAGTAGCCTTTTTGATCTCACGTATACCTATCACGAGCCATTTCAGGGCGACAGTTTGCGCACTGGTCGTTTTCTCTGTGGAACATGGTACGAACTCATCATTTGAGTGTTGCTGCTTCCGGTAGAGAAGAAGAGAATAAAAGGTAAACTGCCAAACTGTCACGTTTGTTAACAACGATGCATAGGGTTAGGTACTTACTTGTCAAGCAAAAAAAATACTGTCGAGACCCCTTGAGGTTCAATCTGATAGATCTGCCTACATAGGTAGTTTATGTTTCTCATACTTAAACTCAGCGCTATATCCAATGCTTAAACATGCATTCCTATTCTGCTATAGAGTGAGAGGGATCCTTATAGCCATTCAAGCAAAGTCTATCCCATCTACCTACCTACCTACTAACCTGGGTAGACAGCGCCACTCCTGCTCAGTAACCATAGACTCGTTCTCATGGAAAGATCTCGAGAGCTACGTCAGCTGGATCTCTGAGAGGCACTGGTCTAATAAGCGGTCGGCATACTACCCAACTCAAAGATCAGTTGCCCATTAGACAAACCACTTCGAAGACCAAGGCATGGCAACAAATAGTTGTTGAGTTCATTAGGGGAGATCAGCCAGAGTTGACCCAAGCGACCCGACAAACAAGAGATAAATAGGGCAGGATACGTTTTCCAATTAATAGGAGAAAATCAAGGCCATTCAGGAGTTTAGACTCGTGTGTGAGACCAGCTATCTCTGAATGGGTTTCTATACTAGTAGCTACTGACCGCATACTATACATAGGACGTTGTCCTGCCCTTACGTATGATCCATCTTTGGTTGTAAGTCTGAAATTAAGGGGGGAAACCTCACGTACATTAATGTCTCTTAAACTGGAAGAAACACGGCCATGATTATCATCATTCATTAAACAAAATAGTAAATCGCCAATCATTGGATGCAGCCAGTCCGTTATCAAGTGGCTGAACATGAGCAACGTGAGAATTCTGGAAGTAGAACATTCGACCCAAGCCTCAATGAACTCGAGGCGTAAAGTAAACGCATATATAGAAGAATAATCAACGACCGTCTAGATATTGATAACCCGCTGTTTGCTTACTTGCTTGTTTACTTGTTTGCCTGATGGCTCACTGGCTTGTTCGCTCCCCATCGAACCTCACCTCACACCATACCACTCAAAGCAAACAAGAGCAAACAAGCCGAGGGAATCGGTCAATGCGGCCTTAAGTCTACATCCTGAACGTAGACTACAAGCGAAGCAGCCCTTCCAGCCAAGCTACGAATGACAGCATAACCCCGGACTCTCTAAGACATCAATTGTCCCAACTAAGTCCCTAATGCCCCCTATCATCTATCATATAGACCAGACACGACGCCGTTCGTGTATAGGTTAGATAATTATAGTGAGCCATAGGTACGTATGAATGCCAGCCCAGACATAAATCGCCTACGATTCAGGAGTCAATTACATGCATCCCCACGAGCAACATACATGCACCGTCATCATCATAAACAAGCAGCTTTAGCCTCGAAAAGGAGAACCAAACAACTGCTAACCCTTAAGCCGTCTGTCTGTCCGTCAAGATTTAGATACCTACTCGAACCAGGTCCCAGCCGTCACGCATCAAATCATCACCCAGTCATCGCTATCATAATCGCCCATGCATTGAAAAATCGCGAGAGGAATATTGTCTTCGGCATTTTGCTTCGAGCTATGACCTATGACACGAGAAAGGCGTATTGCCTACTAGATAAAACCCACACCCGCTTGCCCCAACACCAGTAAGCCATGGCTCCCAATGCAATGTATCTATGTAGTATAGGAACGTCGTAAACCTGTTACCACCAGGAGTACAGCCGTGGCTGGTTATAAACGGCTAAGAATAATCATCTCGACAAAAAAAACATCCGAAACGCCGCCTCTCATGTTGATGGCTACAATATGTCTTGCTAGCCGGGTATTTCTAACAGACTGGCAGGATTCCCGTTCTGACAATCCACCTTGTGCGGATTCCCTGGTTGGAGGGCGCTTAATCCTCTCACAACATTTGATTATGCTAAATCCTTTTGCGCCTACGAACTCCAGACCACGTTTTTGATGAAAAAAACCAGCCCATCTCAATAACCGCCTCGCCTCTGCATGGCACTTGTATCGCTTCGGCTTCTATCCCTACCAGCGCCTTGGCGCACAGCGTCACTGTAACTGGGAATTGGGGGGTTAATTGGGCGGAGTGCGGCAGCAGAAGCCCCACGACTCCGCATTGGAGTCCTGATTAGAGGAGCAACATCGCTCTCGGAGCCGCTGCCATCCTCATCGGAATGTTCGGGACTGGTATATTCGGGTGGTGGATGTGAAGCTTCGTGTAAGCTCAACCCAGCAATATTAACTACATGGTCTCCAGTGGGCGCAAAGCCATGGCCGCTGGTGCTCCCTTCGCCTGCTTCGTCCGTGGGAACTAACTGTGCTAGAGAAATATCCGTAGGACTTCTCTGCGGTCCCGGACTGGTAGGTGGAAGAACCCGGTAATTGCCGCTGCGCGTTCGTGTATGACCAGACTCTAGTAACGGACCTCGGTTGGTGTATGTTTGAAATGATTGTGAATACGGATGGGCATGCGATGGTGATCCTGGAGTCTCGTCCTTCCTACGGCCGGATTCCAGGAGGATACTACCCTGTTCGCTCCCGTAAGGTGGTGGTGGTGCTAAACTTCCAGTCATGGGCGCAAGCCCCCATTTCTTCACGTTGGCCTCAATAAAAACAAAGCCAGCCTGCCCGAAATTCACATGAATGATGCAGGGACCGTTAGCGCCAACCGAAGGGAAGAAGTTTTGTGACTTTAAACCGTGGACGACGTCATCTAACCGTCTGCCATTGCGTGTGAAGAAAATGGTACCGGTTCGAGGGCGGTAACCAACGCCGATAACATCACCTTGAACCATCGGAGGCCCGTACGGCGAGGGCATGAAGGGTTGATTATATCTCCGTGCGCCTGTAGATGTGTAGGCAGCAGAATATTTGTGGTACCCTGAAGATAATGTCAATGTCAAGTTGCGAATAGGACCACAGAAATACATAACACACGTACCTGGAAGCCTGAATAACGGGTAGGGTTTCGTGGACATTCCGATGCTTAACAACGTGGTTTCAGGCTTTTCATATATCTTTGCCTCCCAGTAATAAACTTCATTTTGTTTTGGCACAGGCAGATTGCTCATGACTGTACACTCTGAATCGAAGAACTCGATCTCGGTCCTGGCTTCGACAAAACAGTTGGCGATCTCCAACTCGGGTTCAAATTCCCATGCTGATACGCCCTTTTCTTGAATAGCTAAATATTGTGATAAGGAAATGTCCGTCTGGACCGACTCGGGTGGGTTTCCTTGTATAAAGGCTGATAACAAGTCAGCTTAGAACACAGTATAGCATTTGGGGAACCATCTCCTGCCCCTGGTCGTGGAGGAAGAGGCTACCTTTTGCTCTGAGGTACTCGGTTCTCTGCATATCATCCATCGTCTCCAGGGCCTCAGCCTCTTCTCTTGCAAACGCCTGCTCATCGTCATACTCGCCGGGCCGGCCGATGCGGTCTAGGAAGATGCGACCGGATGCCGTGTGGCGGAAGAAGTAGATGACGAGGAAGATGACGGCCACTATGACAGCAGAGCCAAAGGACGAGAGTAGCCCGATGACGATGCCATCTAGAGGGCTCGTCATGTTGGGCAGATGGGGATCGTGTGCTGTTGGTTGAATGAGCGAGATCCAAAGTTGGGACGCTGCCGTCACCGGGTTGTCACAGTCATTCGGCCGCGGTCCTGTCGAGGACGAATACCCCGATGCTGTAGCACAAAGAAGAAGATAATGCCGGCAAGTTCGAACTGGTCAACAGGTCTATCGAGGATACGGGGATGTTGCTTCGACGAGATGAGGGACAATCGAGGTTGCCGTGGATGTACGTTTCGTCGAGGGTCACACAACGGAATGGCCCGACGGGCTGAATGGTGGAATGTGGCGGCGATAGGACAATAGGCGCTGTGCTCCTGCGGTCAGGGCTTCGGTAATGGTGAGCTTGCGCCCGTTGTTGTCGGTGTGAGGGGCTGGGTCCAGGCTGCGTGCGGCTGGGCGGGAGACGGCGATGATGATGACGATGATGATGGTGATGACGATGACGATGGCGCTGGTGATGATGATGGCCGAAGGGAGAAGAAGAAAAGAAGATGATGCAGTGAAGACAATGGAAAAGAAGACAAACAGCTTCGCGGCCTGCTTGAAACGATCGAGCGTAGTATAGACGACTAGGTGAGAGAAGATAGCAAGCCAGCTTGGAGGAGGAACGGGAGCAACTGAATGATAGAACGATAGTGAAGAGGGTACCTAATGTGACTGGTTACAGTACTTACTGTAGACTGTAGAGAGAGGAAGAGGATTGGGATGGGATTGGACTGGCATTGGGGTAATAATGGGGACGGCCATGCAGCAGTAGCAGTGCAGCGATGCAGGTTAGGTTAGGTTAGATAGATAGGCTACCTTAGGTTAGGTTGGACGACGCCAGCGACGTAGCGGTCTCGATCTCTCTGATGATGCTGTGCAGCGCAGCAGGTACGGGTTCTGGTGCGGGTGCACTATGCACCCTATGCACACTATGCACAGCACACTATGCGCATACAGTAGGCAGGTAGGCATGCTGAGCTGGCGCGCAGAGGGTTCCCGCTGCGCCCGAGCAAATCGTCAGGTCGTATGTAGCAGTAATCCGGTCTGGCCTTTCCGGATTT